ATATATTTCATTCCTTCTTTTTTCCCTATTTGCGTTCTTTGAAATGCCCTTACGCAGGGCATGCTCACAGTACTACTTTCGAGGATGTATTGAATGCATATTACTTCCAAATTTGTCTTTCTTTTCCTTTTTTTTTTTTTTTGGTTTTATTTCTTTGAAAGATTAGTGCCTTGCCAGCAAGGCAAGACGTCTACCTAGGCTGCCTAAATTTTTTCTCAGTTTGTTTTTTTTTTTCCAATTTTGCTTTTAATCTATTAATTTTGGGTCCACCAGCCTTTTCCCTCGAAACCTATGCCATGTCGAATCACTGTTCATCTTGCCACGGTCACATTGTACTGCGTTTGGTGAATAGAAAGGGTTCATGAACTGCTAGTTTAAACCAATAGACGATAAGGCTAAACTGAGATTAGACAATCGTCTTACTAACGTACTTCATCTGAATTAAACATTCGAGTAAAACCAACCTTTTGTTCTTATAATGAAGACAAACTCATATTCAAACCAAACAAATAAGGTAATTCCGACCTGCTAATGATTAAGTCAATCAAAGTCAAAATAATCAATTTTATTCCCGTATGCTAAAAATGAGATAATTATGTTTTTATTGTAACATGTATAACCCTAAAAAAATATTACGATTAAGCCAAGTCGTAGAAACGCCAGAAAAAGTTAGTCCACTAAAATCACAACCCACCTAATTCGCACAGACTAGGCCAACCCAATCATATCATACAAACAATGAACTGAGTCTACTTGCTTCCATTGCAACCTGACAAACTTTCACAAATAAAAACAATTAAGTTATATTGCATTAATAACTTGATCAACCTTTTACGAACCATTACAATTAAGTCAAACAATGAATCACATAAGCCCCTTAAAACAATGAAATGAACCATCCCGCCATCATCCTTACAAAATATAATAACCAGCTTGATCCATGTCAATCTCATAATCGGTCAGCCAACAATGGACAAAACTCACAAATGCTTGAATGGACCAGCATGGTACTATAACAGCCCGATCGGTTCCCACTTATAGAAACAGTTAATCAATTAAGTCATAAAAACAACATAATGAGGTGGTTGGTTTTCATTGTATTATAATAGCTAGCACTTATGGTTGCCATTTCAATCTTTATATGTGACCGCTATAAAATGTAACAATTAGTCAAATGAAATAGGTCTTATGATAAAGTCAGACCAAGATATCGTCATCAAAGCTCAAACAACCTCCACAAACCGAGTCAAAAATAAATTCCATGTAGCATAACAATATAGGATCACTTGCAACAATTGCAACCTGATTGGACCGATGAAGCATGAGAATCAAGCCAACCTATGAAAACAATGGAGAAAACCAACCCCGTTCCAATCACAACTTAATGGACTCGCAAAACACTGAAGAGAATCAACACGACGCCTCGACTGTTGTGACAGCCTGACTGATCCCTATGGTCTTATAAGAAATTTCAGAATAGATAAGCACCAAAGTCTCTGTCACTATTGAGTAAGGCATGTACTATTTCGTCATCTAATATTTTGCACATAAAATCATCACTCTTGAATGCCACTTGCCTTTAAGTCCACCTCGACTTCCTTTATATCAGACCATATTTGGGACAAGTCTAAGATCGATTCTTCCTTTATTGGTACAATTTTCAATCCAAATTTCGAAAAGCAAAACAACATTTAGCAAGCATAAAGGCTATATGACGATACTCATGCCCGTAACCTACCTCAATAGCGGCTGCTTCCAAGCCTCCTTAAGTCACGCAACAACTTGGCAGTAGTAGTCAATCATCGCTAAACCTTTGGTTCTCCTTTATACTACCTTACCACTTCTATCTTCCCCCGCAAGGTTTGATCATAAACCACCCGCAAATATCAACATACATAAGCCAAAATAACTCATATACTACTCTCTCTTAACCTCTCACTGCATGGTCCACCTTAACGGGTAGCATGCCAACTAAAAACAAACGCAAACATCAACTCTTTGGCCAAAAACCTTTTCTACCTTTCAAAGTCAATGTAGCATCTTTCTTTTAAATAGGTACATCTAACCTAACAACTAACTTCTTTAATATGTTGAGGTTATAAAAAATATATAATTTAATGTTAACCTTCAACTTGCTTTTAACCCTATTCAGTCTATTGTCAATATCCTGAAGTATAACTCATACACATTCACCCTTTGAGCAATAAGCATCTCTCTTTAACCTTTTCATATCCACACCTCGCCTTCCTCCCCCTGCTGGCTGCAGATTCTCTCCTTTCACGCACAATTCATTTCCTTTTGGCAATGCCTTTCTATCCATTTAGTTATTTTCCCAGCAGGAAGGTTAAAAGATAATGTTTTATGAATCAAAGAGGATCAAAATGCAATATAGCCACATGATCGATCACAACTTATACTCCACAAGAATTTAATCTTATAGCCAGGTAGGGCCTACCTCAGGCGATCACACCCTTCAAGCACCCCAACATTCAAGGCACCAACACTACTCTCAACTAGGGTGAAACGAAACACTCGAATAAACGCTAACCCCTTAGCGAGCCAAGTCACGAAGTCCAATAAAAACGATCGAAAGCCAGACAACTGATTCAGAAAAACAATGGATGACAAAATCTCTAGCCGACCAAGAAGAATCATGAAGATGAGCAAGAATCGTGGCTACGAATGACAAAAAAAAAGCATGAACCAATGAAAAACAAAGAGAAGGTATTACAAACCCGCCTTGAATCGGGAGCGCAGACTGAAATTATAAATTCGAGTAAAAACACGACAATTAAAATAGACACAAATGTTCAAACAAGAGTAAGACTGCAACATAATGTAAATCACAAACAAAGGCGTTACCACAAACTGAAATGTGATGGAACCAAAGATATATAGTGACATACTAAAAAAACAAACAAGATGACCACCAATTCAGATACTCGAACAAGATAACTAGAAGTAGACGTATCCAATCGCGAGGACGAGCGACGATTATACCATGAATATGGACAAAAAAAAACGACAAAGGACACGCGCAAGAACCAAGTTATGATCATAGACATGAATCATAACTTGACACGAGTACAAGCATAAGTGTGAATCACTAGGATCATTGCCACACACATAACCACGCACCATGACCACGAACAAAACCAAAAATCATTAGGATCAGGAGTACACGTACATAGTCACGACTTATGAATTAGAATAAAGATCACATGTACAAATATCACTATGATATAGTATGAATAATAACTTGAATTATGACCATGAACGCAATAGGAATCAGAACGTACGATTACGACTATGAACATGTTGACAACAGATCAAGTAGCGACTTGGCGCGTTACAAAAACACGTAGGACAAATGTTTGGTAACCAATATACGAAATCATGAAAATAAATGTGGTTGAACGAATACAACAAATTGGTCATATACCCTGCTACCGGATGGCTGAAATTATGCTCATAACCAACAGCCCAAGCTCCGACGGTCTACTCGGTGGGCATGCGCATAATTTTGTGCTTTGAATCTAGGGCGTGCGGGATTGGGTACGGCTACATTTTCACACAGTGGATAATCTGGGTACCATGCGAAGTTGGTACGCCCACCGATATAAATGCAAGTTCGCGCTGGGACTGCGTATAACAGGTATTCCCATCTTTAAGTGGGGTACAAAATCTATAGATGCAATTTTCCCTTTTTTGTTTTGCTGTTGATTTACTTGGTGTCCACTCTATAACTGGTGACAAGTTTGGCTTAAAAGGTTCTCGGGGTTTGTTATAAAGATCATGCGATTTTCATATGTTTTTTTGCGTTGTGATCTCTCGTCTCTGATAGCTACATAGTTTTAGACAAGCTAACTCTTGTTATCTGGTTTTGGTTTTAGTGTTGGGTTTTTTCTACCATTGTAAATGGTTTGCCACAGGATTTGTTCGACCGAGGAGTACTAAGTTCGGTTAGCGAGTGTTTTTTTCTTTTTTTCTTTTGACTTTTGCTGCTGCCCCCTTTTCATCAGACATACATTGGCTTCGTGAAAGCTTGTGAGTAGGTTTACCCGACGTTTTATGTAGATTGTTTGCCATGGTGAGTTGTGGAAGTTGGGGGGAAGATCTCACTCTGTAAAGGTATCATCATATCCGTAGCAGGATCAACGGTGGGCAGGTGAGCATCCTTGCACAAAGAAATCGCGGAAATGAATTTTGCGTGGTGGGTTGGGCTATGGGGCTCGTTCGACACTCCTTGGGCCATCCTTAGGCCCCGAGGAAAATTTCCCATCGTCGCCTGAGGAAAATCACGCCTCCGTTCCAATCATCCTCGGAAAAGCTCCCCGAGGACGATTCCTCGGCTGCTCCCGCGGCCAGTTTCATATTTCGATACGCGGACGCGGAGGGGGGGGGGGGGGCGGTTGGTCCATCAAATTGTGTCCGTGCCGTCGTCCTTGGTCCAACTCGGGTGGGCGTCGCAATAGTTGGCGGCGAAAAAAAAAAAGTGGCGACGACATAAAGGCGCGCAGTCCCGGATTCGAAATTTGAAATTCGAATTCCCACAAGCGACAGGGGGGGGGGCGTGGGCATCCCTTGCGGCTGACGGACGCAACGTTCCTCGACCGAAGCTTTCGGGTGCGTGGTGGCGGCTGCGTGACGGCGCCCACGTGAAACGTACATGTATGCGTCCCAAGCAGCAAACACGCCGTCACCATTGGTCGTCACCCTTATCGTCGTCGCAGGCGCACCTTCGTCGTCGATGTGTACGTCGTGCACTCCTGTCGGCAGTCCTCGGAATCGCTGTTGTGCGCCCCTGCAGACGTGGAGTCTTCTTTACTTCGCGCCCGAGCCGTCCACATTTGAAGTTGTCGGCGATGGACATGAACGGGGAGGTGGGGCGTGACACACTCAGCAAGACGGAGCGGACGACGGTGGTAGCTGTCATCAACACCATCCTCATCAGCTGTCAGGTGCAGAGGACCGAGGGTAGGATGAAAGCGGCCATTCGCGCACGGAGGAAGAAGACGCTGCCGTCCTTGAATGTGAAGGAAGATGACAATGCTGCCATTTGCGATGCCATTACGCCATGGGGTGTGGAGGGTTTCCCAGAGTGTCGCCCAGGTGGTGGATGAAGCGACGGACACGGGGACGTGGGAGGATCTGCGGCATTGCGACGACGCGACGGCGGACTACTTCAAGGACAAGCTGCGCATGTCGCCACGTGCGTTCCGAGAGGTAGCGGAAACTTTGTCTCCCTTTCTTGAACGGAGTGTGACTTTCTATATGAAGCCCCTCCAGCCTGATCACATTGTCGCCTATGCTTTGTACAGATGGGGGTCGGGGGAGACTTACGAGAGCGAGACATGCAGCTTCGGCATTGGCAGATCTTTTGGGTTGGTGGCTGTGCGGGATGTAACTGCGGCGTTGCTGACTGCCTACCCCGACAAGATGTCGTGGCCAACGGGACTGCAGAAGGCCGTCGTCTTGCGCGCTTCCGCTGACAAGGGTTCCCCTAACTGCCATGGGTGCATCGACTGCACCCATATCTTCATCGACAAGCCAACGAATTGCCCCGGGGAGGAATACTACGACAGAAACCGCTGTTTCTCCGTCCAGGCGCAGGTGGTTGTCGATCTGAGCTTGCGCGTGCTGGATGTGTTTGTCGAATATCCGGGAAGTCGCCACGACGTGAGGATCGTCCACCTATCAAGTTTATGGGCGCTCGCGGAGGCAGGGGAGCTTTTCACTAAACCCCATGTCATTCTGCCTTTCGGTGTGCGGACGAACGGGTATGTGCTGGGCGACAACGATTATCCCCCCTCCGAATGGGTGGTCGTCCCCTACGGCGGTCTCACACAACACCCGTCGGAGCTGCGCTTCGACAACAAGCAGAAGACGACGAAGGGAGCAGTCGAGAGGGCTTTCGGCAGATTGAAAGGGATGTGGAGGTTGTTCCTTCGCTCCCACAAGACGAACATGGACGGCGAAACGTAGCCTGCCTCCTCCTCCTCACCTTCACCTTTCCGCCCCTCCCTCCCATCGCGACAGCCTGATTGGACGGCGAAATGTAGCCTGCCTCCTCCTCCTCACCTTCGCCGTCGTTGTCGTTCCACTCGTGATCGTCCGCGTGCAGCACTGGTTCCTCGCCATCGTTTTCGTGGTCACCCACACGCAGTCGTTGCACCCCCGCGTTATGGACTCCTCCCGCCCCAACCGCAGCAGCCGTCGCTGTACTGCCCACACCTCCCTCCCGTCCCGTGCGTCACCAAGATTGACGATGCCACGATCCGTCTTCCCGCATTCGTCACGACGGCGGCTTGCAATCGAACCGCCGGGCAGGGGAGACATGACTGGGTCCACTGGGGGCGAACAGAGGCAGCCCTGGACACAGACGACGACCGGAATTGCTGCGTCAGAGGTTCCCTGTTGTTCCCCGTCGCCTCTCACAACGGCGCTGGTGACCTGGATGATCGCGCAACAGGCGTCACCTGGCCGCCGTCTTCGTCCGGATGGGGTTTAATGACGACCATTCGAGAGCCGACCGACGACCTACCGCTACACAGGCCGAACGAAAGATTCATGCTGCCATCGCCTTCGTCACCGCTGAGCCCCTGCTGGAGGAGTTCGGTGTAGGTCCGCCCACAGCCGCCGTCGCGGCTTCCACACAGCTGCATGGCCGACCACGCTTGGGTGGATCCACTTCCTAGCGGCACGTTTGGTGGACATTTCTCATCCGCCTCCTCGTCGGACGTGTCCAACAGCAGCTGTGAGTGCGGTGGTAGGTGCGCGTACGCAGACCGGCCCGACGACGGCCGTGAAATCTAAGACGGCTTGGGGCCACCCCGCTGCCCACCAACCTGCTCGCCTGCAGACCTGCTGATCGCCTGCCGCCCCTCCATCCTGACGACCCTCTTCAAAGAGCGTCTTCAGCGACCACGTCGGGGAAGGCTGCCAAGGATGATTAGCGCCAGCAGCGGCAACCTCCAAAAGACGTCGGCCATGAAAGGCACGTGGACGACGGCATCCGCTAGAAGACAACGGTGGATCTTTGTGGTAACGGCAAGGGACAGTGCTGCAAAAGACCGATCACACCTATCGACAAAATCACCGTAACATATTCCGTCGTGGAAGACACTGCGCAATCGGGACGGCGGGGGCCGCCTGAAATATTCGAATATGCTGAGCGCCTTCCCGCTCGTAGCCAAGGGCAGCAACGCAAGACGGCCCTTTTTCGACATCGCGGAGGCCGGCATACCGCCAACGACGACCGTTGGTGGCCAGTTCCATGACGCCGACCGTTGCCGACCAAAGATGTCCGTCCAAGGCCGCTAGGAACAGCAATTGACCACGCCGAGCAAATGTCGTTGAGAGAGCTGCCGTCGACGCCCTGATTCTTCCAGATGCTCAACCTCCGAGGGACCTCAGGAGATCCCTTGGGGAACGCATCAGAATGGCTGTAACCCGAGGAATCCCCGAGGATTTGTTTTCACATTTTTTTTTCAATCTGTTCCCCGAGGATAAGTGGAACGATCATTTCCTCGGGGGATTTACGCGCCCGAGGAGTGTCGAACGAGCCCCTATATAGGTTCTGCTTTTGTGTGTGCCTCTGCTGTGCAGGTGGCATGGTAGTTGGATCGATTGTGGATAGATGTGAGGAAGGAGCATCACGTTGTGAAGGCATCATCATGGTGGGCGGTGACCGTCCTTGTCAGAGATGGCTGTGCTATTGAGAGTAATCTGCCTTGCATTGCAGTCTCTGGGTTGGGCTATGGGGTCTGCCGTTTGGTGTGACCCTTCCTCGCGGGTGTATGAGGTAGTTTCACCCGTAGGACAGTAGATGTTCTACGTATTACTTAAATTTTTTTTCCACCAGCTATGCCTTCTATTCTATGGAGATTTTAGCATTGATTTTGTTACCGCATCTAATTAGGGTTTTCGCAGAAATTAGCGGTCTACTTTGCTTAAACCACCAGTACTTGGCCCAACTATCGATGCCGAGCCTGGAATGCCCCTGCTCGCCGATTTTCGCCGAAGCGCTGGGGTACCGTTTCAATATTGTTTTGGCTGGCGCTTCCAGCCATTGAGGTCCGGTACCCCGAAGCCCTAAAGCCGCGCCGCGTTAACGGGAAAGCGCCGCGACCGATAGCTGGGCCAAGTACTGGTGGTTTAAACCACTGCAGTACTTCCTAGAGTCGTGCCCGTTAACGCGCCACGATTTTAGGAAACGTACGGGCCACTACAGGAGGGCCCAAATTCATTCA